AATCAACTACTTGGATTCGGGGTGAACAACATGACCCATGAACACGGGAATGCCCGTCTTGGTAACAATGAAAAAGATGAATGGATGATCGACAATAAAGTCGACAGGTGGTGCCGGCATGCAGCGGACCATCATTGGCATGGCCGTTGCCGCGGCAGCTTCCGCTCCTTCCTCATCAACCTAAAGCACAATGCACACATCACATCCACACCAATGAGCAACAAGGGCAAGAGGGGCAGGAAAGAAAAGAAAAGAACAAAGCCTACATCGATCACTGCCTGGTGGTAGACATCAGACACAGCGAGTGATCTGTCACTCGTTATACCTGAGAAGTCGGCACGTTCAGCGTCAAAGGCAGACTTCAATCCCATCCTATGCAACGGCTCCTTCAACTTCATGTTATGCCCACCGAGCGAAAACCTCGGCAATTTCAGCACCACTTCTGTATCAAAATACTGATCCGACGTCAGCATCTCCTCCAAATGTTTGGCATTTGCACTCAGTTGCTTCAGCAGATTGGGCAAACCGTCATTCTTCTCCGGCAGCACAATCACCATTTCATGCCTGAGCGAGGATGCAACTACTTCCACACACTTACACAACTTACGTTTCAAAGGGCACCTTCAAAGCTCGAACCTCGAGATCTACAAAGTCTGCCATTGGATAGCTCGCCTTTTGAGTCATCATGCTGACCCTCACATCTCCGCTTTCCAGGCTGTGAAATACACCATTCCTATCTGTCTTGCTCTTCTCAAACTTGCATTTCCAAACTCCCTTGAAGTAAACAGCATTAGCCAGAACCACATGAGTCATGGGGGTGATCGACCCCTGAGCGAGGAGGTCCTTTATTTTCTCCCTCGTCTTCTCCGCTATCCACCTATTGATTGAGACGCGAGATCCCTCACAGTCGCCACCGAAATCCAACTGAAACACCACGTTGTCAGCAGGAAACAATGCTGTTACCTGTTTCATGCCAGCCTTCAAGTGCTTACTGACGGCACTAGTGTACGTCTCTCTAATGCGACTACCAGCTTGGATGAACACACCATTCGCTTCCACCAACGTCTTCTTCGCGTCACCGTCAGCAACAGCTTGCAAATCCTCACCAAGAGATTTGACTATGGTGTCAATGTCTTTGCCAGGAGCAAGTCCAAGCACTGATACCAATTCCTCCCTTGTTTCACTTTCAGATCCTGCCAACGCAAGGGACAACGCCGAGTACACGCTCAGCGGAGACATAAAGAAGTTCGACCTTCCCTCTACAACAGCAAACTTCCCTTAGCATTCAGAGTATTTACAACCACGTCAGTAGGGAATTCACTTCATTTGTACATGAAGGAGAACTCAGTTCTTGCGGAATGACGGGAGGTACTTCTAGTAATAAGTACACCTTGTAAGGGCAAGAAGACTTGAAACAAACCGCAATAGGGTGAGAGTTTGACACACGG